GCAGGAATTTTACTACCAGTGAGTGAACCGAGTTCTACGAATACTTCGTTATACGTCTCTTCTGTTTCGCGACGGGTTCAGCTTCGGCAGAATTTTTTCCGCAATACGCGATTTTTTCGAAACCCCCATAATACCACTATGCAAGTGTTAATAGTATTTTACGCAAAGCGATCACTGAACAGAAATTGGTACTGTTTGTCGAAACGATATATTCGAATTTTATATCACCGGTGAAAAATTTGCAAGAAAAATTCCTTTTTAAATTAATTATTCAATCATTTCCAGTTTTTGAGATTTCGTATATCTTTTCCGCTTTATTTTCAACGTCTTATGACAGCTTTAATTTCATTACACGTATGCATATTTAAATCGTACGCAGTTAAAGAATAAAGGAAACAATAGTAATGAACGCTAATAATATTCAAAATTTAATTTTAAAACCGGAAACTTCGTAAAATCTCTGGTTAAAAATTGACGAATGCGGGTGAGTGTGCAGGTGGCAAATGTCTCTTATTTTTATAGAACCCAACACACCGGGGAAGTTTATCGTATGGTTTAGAAACGAGACGACCTTATTGGTCCTGTGGCAGCCGCCCTATCCTGCTGGGATTTACACCCATTACAAAGTTAGTATAGATCCTGCTGATGCCATAGAATCTGTTCTTTATGTGGAGAAAGAAGGGGAACCTCCTGGGCCTGCACAGGCTGCTTTCAAAGGCCTCGTCCCTGGTAAGATATTTATTAAAGCAGTTGAATATATTTAATAAAAAGGCAGCTGCCAGTAACTGCTCTAGTAAAATTTGTTTGTAATGCCATTCAACATTTTTCTTTCAATGAACAAAGTACCTCTTTCACTCGCTTATTTCATTTATTTACTTATACGTGTATTTATCTCGTTCTTTTCATTCGTTTCATTCCTCGTATCCTTGATTTTTACATATATTTTTAGGCTTAACTACACGTAAAACTTGCATTTATTCCAAAATTCATCGTATTCTATGAAAATTCGCATAACACGATATTTTATTTGCAGAAAACTTAACTTCTTCCATAAAATTTGCATAATACGGTATTTCATTGACAGAAACCTTACTTTTTCCAGAAAATTCGCGAATATTAACGTTCCCTTAACTCTCCATCTCTCACTATTAATTCTATATCAACGTCACCGAACTCGTCGTTTTAACCTTCTATTTCTGATCACCATAGGCAGGGCGTACAATATATCCGTGCAAACGGTATCAGAGGACGAGACCTCAACCCCGACAACGGCTCAGTATCGAACGGTGCCATTACGTCCCCTGAACGTTACCTTCGACAAGTCTTCGATAACGTCCACTTCCTTTCGCGTCTTCTGGAATCCTCCCGAAGGAATGTCTGAATTCGATAAGTATCAAATATCTTTGGGGGGTAACAGAAGACTGGCGCCGGTTACCAGGAATAAAGACGACGAGAGCAAATTGGAATTCAAGGACTTGGAGCCAGGGAAAACTTACCAGGTGGTTGTGAAGACAGTCTCAGGCAAGGTCACCAGTTGGCCGGCTAATGGGGATGTTACTCTAAGTAAGTGTTAACTAGTCCAAGTAACTTAGTTTCTGCTTCTCTTAAACCTCTTAATTAAGTTTCTTGACGCTCTGTACTTAGAATTTCGTTCTCTTTGTAATAATGCAAATTAATGCAAATTAATGCAAATTTTTACTAACAGACTTTTATTTTTTTCGGTAGTATTGTTTCTTTCCAAATATCTTTTTAGTGTATTGTTTTATAAGATATAAAATAATTGAAATTGGCTGTGACAGAATGATTGAAAATTTTACGTTTTTCAGATTTTTTTTTTTTTTTTGGTAACATTAAATTGTATATAATTAGAATTTTGTTTGTCTATATAAGAGAAGAAAATTGGAATTGCTTAGAGCCTTTCCAACTAATCGTAAATTTGTACACTGACAGTAATTACTATAAAGTGATAATTCTATATAATGCAATATTATGTTAATAAAATATAATAACATATTAACGAAGAAATGAAATAAAATTTCTACTATCCAAGCCACGTAGAATTATAACAGGTTTAATTTTCAAATAAAATTAAAGTCAAAAATGATAATTCATATATAGTGGCGAAGAAGAAAGTTACTTACGTTATTTGAAAATTAATAAATTATTTGAATGTATTAGTAAAGAATATTTCTGAATTTCTTGGTTTGTAATGACGTGTTTGACACGTTGTTTAACACATTGACGCGAAAAAAAGCGACGTCTCAGAGACGTGATTTAATGCCAAGGAATTTAGCATCTTTGATACGTTTTTATGGTTTTAGGCGAATGTTCGACCTTGTTCTTTCGACTCAGAGTGACTGTTTTTCGCAATTCACTTGTGCCTTTAAAATGAATATTCTTGTGCTTCTTTTTGCCCAAAATAAAATATGGTTTCGATATCTTTCTCACAATTTGAAATATCTGGTTTACATCCTCCTTGCCATGTTTGCGGTCTCGAATAATGTATTTTTTAACGAAAGAAATACGACGTCGTCACTGTGTTCGGAAATGAGCTGTGTGATTATATAAAACATATTCTTCGAGAAGATTGTAAGAAAAATTTGTTTTTCTATGAAATCATTCGAAATTTATATTATATTTGACGTTTTAATATTTCACAAACGTGTGTTAATTAGAATATTACAAGTACATTGTAATATTGTGAAATATAGTACCGTTAAATTGTTAAATAAATCTAGTAACATTGTTTAAGAGGTAGAGTATTAGATTTTTTAATTTATTTATACATACGTATTTTATTAAAAGCAATTGTCTACGTAATATCCAAATTTTTATATTAATTAGTTATCTCTAATTATATGATATTTCTTTTATAATTTTTTTTCGATGTACATGTAAGAATTGTTTAAAATTCGTAATTGTAATAGTTGCAGAGATTTCGTATCGAGAATTCTGATCCTGTTATTCTGACGAAATTTATTGACAGGCAGATGCATTGTCTCGCTGCTATCAATAGACGTATAGTATCGTGAAAATGATGAATACGCTTCATTATAGGCACCACTAACTTCTGCTTATATTGTTTTGCATAGAACGGATAACACGATTTTTCATTCAAGTTGGTATTATTGTTTAGTAAGGTAATAATCGAATTAATATATTACCTTTTAAAGCATTTATTGGCTCAATACATTATGGTTCAATAATATTTCTATTTTCTTTATGATGCTTATTATAATTCTGCAACATCTTTTCAATAATACATTAATATTAATATTAATAAATGATACTAAAAATATCAGACATCATAAAATTATAATATCATACGAGTAATTAATATAAATAAAAATACCAAGTATCATATATTACAATATTATATGATTGGCACATATCACAAATTTTTAAGAAAAATATTAAATATTATAATATCGTAATATTCTAAACAGAATAGATATTGATATAAAAATATTATTACTTTCAGAACCATTATCTGTACGCGATCTTCGCGCTGTCATTGACGAGAAAACCGGAATGGTGGAAGTTTCCTGGCACCCTGAAAATTCGAGTACACAGGATAGCTATAAGCTTCAGTATCACGAAGTGGAAACTACGATTGGCGGTGACAGCAACATGTTGACAACTGATAAGACCAAGGTAATCGCGTTACCATCTTTTTTCTTTATTTTAACAAATGTACCGACCAACGAACTAAAATCTCATTTACCGTTTACAATTTCGATAATTTACCATGACTCATTTGCGGAATATTTTTGGCAATACCAAAGGAATGTTAAAGGAAACGATTGTACTCGCTAAACCAACCAAGGAGATATACGAAAGTGACTATCATTTTTTTGGATTACTTATGCTTTTTTAAATCGAATTTACATTTCTTGTTTTTATGCAAACGAAGCAGACGTAATCGCGAGATACTAGGTGTAGATTAGGCGAGTTCGTTGGTAAACTTGGTAGTAAAATTTCATTGAAGGATTCTCTCGAATGGAGAAATGTGAATTTGAATATTCGAGAGAGAAATGTCCAGTACTCGATGCGAAATAATTTTCAAACTGTTTTGAAACTAAAGTGTAATTTCAGTTCTAAAATTTGAGTATATTATAGCAGCGTGTTTCTTGCATAGAATTCTAAATTGAAATCTTAATGAAGTATAATTTTAAAATAATGCTGATTTACGTTTGATAATATGGATATTTTCATATTGCAATTTCATTTTTTAATATACGATGTTTCATAATTAAATCACAGTGCGAGTGGTTAAAATTAAAATTGAAATTGAAGATACTTTTCCACGTTTATTTCAACAAATATTTGTATAATTCTACGCAATATTCTACTTTCAGGTCACGTTGGAAGCGTTACTACCAGGCAGAAATTATTCGATAATCGTCCAGGCGATTAGCAACAAAGTTGAATCAAATGAGACTGTTCTGTACCAAGTCACACGCCCCTCGAGTCCAATAATCGAGGATCTGAAACCGACAGAAATGGGATTAAACATCTCATGGAAGAGCGACGTTAACTCGAGGCAGGAGAAATTCGAAGTAACGCATAACAGGAACGATACAGGGGAAAGCGCAACCACGTTAACCACGGAATCTCATATCGTCCTCGAGGACCTTTATCCTGGCGCAGCTTATGAAGTTAAAGTTTTCGCCATTAGCCATGGCCTAAGGAGCGAACCGCACGATTACCTCCAAGCTGTTTGTAAGTAACCTTAATTTTCGATTTAATTTCTGATATTAAAATTATTAAGTTGCATAAATTAATAATAAAACAACAGATTTGTAACGTATAGCTAAATATAATATAAACGTTCAATAATAATTAAAATACTGCGATGAAAATGAACGGGTAATAATAATAACAATTAGGTTTCTATTCGAATAAAAGTCTAAATAGCTAATATAAAATATTTGAAATTTATAATAAAATATTTTCATTTGTTTGGTAGTGTAGTGTTAAGTTATATTCAAAATGTACAGAATGTAATTCATACTTATGATGGTAATAAAAAAAAGGAAATAAAATAAAATATTGATAACGAATAAAAATTACATAAATATTGAATCTAATAAATGTAAAATAAAGAAAAGTTAGATAAATATTAGGGTAACTGAAAAATAAATAAAAATTCAACAGAATATTTCATTTCTAAAGTAGAAAATATATTTTAGAGAAACAGAAATTTTGTTGTTAACGTATCTGTTCGATTGCAGTGCCCCACCCACCAAAGAATTTAAGTATCGAGAAAGTGACGAGCAACACCGTCGTTGTCCATTGGGAGGCCCCAACGGACTCGTTATATTCCGAATTTTCGATACGATATCGAACCGAGGACGATCCGAGATGGGTAAAATTGCCCAGTGTTCGAGAGACGGAAGCGGAAGTGGCGGATATGACGCCAGGGGAGAAGTACACGATTCAAGTGAACACCGTGAGTTACGGGGTCGAAAGTCTCTATCCCCTTCAAGTGAATCACACAGTTCGTAAGTAAATAGAAGAAGCCGTAAATCTAAATCATTTTTAATATTGTAGTAAAGTTCAATTCTATATTTGGATTGGTGGAAAAAATATATTATTTGGAGGATAGTTTATTCGTAAATAATAACAATAATAATCATAATAATCATAATGATAATAGTAACAATAATGATGACAACGTAAATAAAAGAATAAATAAAATAATATAAATACAATAAACCATAATTATTTGAAAGAATTTTATTGGAATAATCAGATTATTCCCAATAAGTGGAGAAAAATGCTTTGTTAATGTATTATAGAAACTCGAGCTAATTGCTCGCTTTCAAAAATTAGTATGTCATCTTATTAACCTTTGTACGAATAAAATAAAGAAATATATTTAGATGGGAATGTTTGTTTGTTTATGAAATATGAAATCATTTCTTTTGTCATGAATAATATCTTTCAATACCCTCGCTCCCCTCTTAAAATCCTTAAAATCCTTAAATTCCTCTAATTTATCAAATCAAAGTCAAAAATACTTTAAGAAATATACATTCTAAAGATTCTAAAATAAATACCATTCCGATTTCTGCAAAGGAATTTATTAATAATACAGTAAATTATTCATGTTCAATAGTCATGTTCGTTAATTAACTTGAAACTATTCCCAGTAGCTCGATAATGATGAATGTTGTACAACTGTACAATTGTACAATACGTTATATAATTACGAATGAAAATCATCTGAGCAAAATATGTGTGCTTCTCTGTTGATTTCCTGATTTCGATATCGCTTGGTAGCCAACAAGGTGTACCTTGGCATAATAAAACTATAAAAAGGAACAACCTATCAGGTTCAAAAGTATAAGCTTCTCAAACAATTTCCAAGTATCGAAAATCTACGATCATAATACTAGAATAAAAATTTGTTACAATATTTAAAATAATATACTAGTTAAAACAGAAATTTAATCCAAAAATCGAATAAAATCTCTGTTTTAATAATAATACATGAATTTTAATAATGATATTATCAGCAATAATATTTCTTGATTATTATTTATTGGTTTAAAAAAGGAACGTATTAAAAGAAATTACAAAATTGTAACTTATATTTTTCTTCCATCACCTCCAAATATCGACACCAAAGTCTGTTACTTTTTAATGATGTTTATTATCTTAAACTGACAATCCACGAATTATTTCAGGGCCCAACCCGGTACTTAACATCACTCCAATTATCGACTCAACGAACGTGACACTAGAATGGCCTAGACCAGAGGGTAGAATCGAAATGTACGTGATAAGGTGGTGGCCAGTGGAAAATCCTGAAGACATACGAACGAAAAATGTCACTGACGGCAACGATGTGACCAGTGTCCTCTTCGAAGAGAACGCAGTGCAAAGGGTGCTCGTTAGCGACCTGATGCCAGGTGTCCAATACTCCTTCATTATCTACACAGTCTCTTATAATTTGGTCAGTGATGTGACCAATCTAACGACTAGAACAAGTAAGTCCCACTAATTACTTACTTCCATAGCAATTTTACGTATTTCAACTAATAGCTACGTTTCTCTTTTTCGATGGATTGTACTATTTCATTGATGAATTTGCTTGATCACGAGTACTAACAGCAAATACTTGGACCAATACCATTTATGGTGATTTCATTACTAATTGCGTGTGTGCTGCGTGATACGATGAAATCTTCATTACATTTGTCACTCATGTAACCTTACAGTCTTATTCTTGTCAGAAATACGTTGTTCTTACAATACGTATAGTAATCAAATTTGACATTGAACGTAGGCACATAAATATGACAAAAAATTCTGAACAGAAGAGACAATAGAAAAAGACTTTCTTTTTTCTCAATTTCTTTCAAGTCTTTCCATTCTTCATTCGCTTAACGAAAAGACTAATCGTAATTGAAATAACGATACTCGAGGTGCTAGGACGTAAATCGATTCTCAGAGTCAATCTAAATAAAGAGAAACGTGATTAAAAGGGTATTTGAAAGTAAAAGAGGTATAAGACCAGAGGGTAAAAGGTCGAGCCAAAAACACGAGTCTGTCGAATTCAGTGCCGCTGATGCAATCGGAAGTGGTTGTGGTCGTCGATCAAGATCAGCCTGACTCGTTGACGTTGAGGTACACACGGACCCCAGTCCAGTCGTCCAAGTTCGATCTGTATCGCTTCCGGATTAGCGACGAGAACAACACGACGAAGGAAAGGATGGTCGACGACATCGACACCAAGGTGACATTCACTGGCCTTACACCTGGTAAACTGTACAACGTCACTGTCTGGACTGTCAGCGATAACGTCGAGAGCAGACCTCTGCTTAGACAGGATCGACTTTGTGAGTATCTCGCGTGGAGCAACACTTCACTGCGATTAGACTACTTTCGATTCACGAGCAAAACGAACAGGAACAAGAATGAGAAAATTTCTTGCTTACCTATCAATTTAAATACAATTTTAATTAACAGGCTGGTTCTCAAGTAGGAGGCTACGTTTAAGCGCCAGGATAGAGATATAGAGCGTTAGGACATAGAGTTTTAAATAATTGAAAAATGAATGGACAATTTCGTTTGGTAGAATTGATTCAATGCACGAGTACATGCGTTCAGACAGAGACGAGAATACGAACATTTAGTATTTTATTGTCGATTGAAGTATGATTTTAATTAATAAGTTGGTTCTAAATTAGTCTAAGTTTGGGTTGCAGTATAGAGATGGGACCAGAGAAGTTTAAATGATCGAGGAAGGAATGGACGATTTCGTTTAGTAAAATTGACTCGATGGATGAGTATATAACTTCAAACAGAGATGAGAAAACGAAAATTTGTTATTTAGGAGTCTTGATTATCAGGGCAGCTATAGTGTCAGGTTAGAGATGAGATTGGTTCTAAATGATAGCAAAATAAATTAACAACTTTGTTTAGTAGGATTGATACTATTGAATACAATTGTAATTGAAGAGATCGAAGCGAGATTTACAGCTGTAATTGTATTTTATATTGTAGGAAGAAGAGGTTTAATATTACTTTCCTGATAGGTACGTTTTACGACGAAACCCTAACGTGTGAATCAGTTTATATGGCTAACACGGTTTAGTTGTGTGAAAACTAAACTTTGCCTATCTTTTCATAACAGAATGTAATACCAAGAAATGTGTTCGCGTTGTGGCTGTAACTCGCCGCAGCTTGTGTTTAATGCTTCTTGAAGCGTACATCGAGACAGTACGAGCTCTCATGAGATTCCACTTCAGAACGTGGTACTTCTCTCTTCGTTGAAGTTCAGCTTGTTCACGATGCTTCAAACTATATATAAATGTAATTAACAAATGATAGTAGAAAGATAATGATTTAAAGTCAACTTCTTTATAGTAACTGCGTTATCTTTCTCATAAATCGTTGAAAAATGCATTACTTCCAAAGTACATTTATGTAGTAGAATCTCAAAATTATATTCTAATTTTAAAACCGAGTTAATACTATGTAAAAGTGAATTTGCGAATTAGATATATATTCTCTTCGTCTTTAATTCATTTTTTGATATTTTAGAATTTGAAAAATATCGAATATGAAACAGTTAGTCATTTAATAATCTTAATCTGTAAATTTGATTTTATAACTTACGGTAATTTATTTTCTTCAATTTTTATTCTAATTAATTATCATAGCTGTTATCATAATGGTAATAATGTATTATTATAATTTTTGTAATTTACAAATTTAATTCCAAGCATAATACTTTCAAAGCTACCGAACGGTCGCTATGCTAGTGTTACATAGTATCGATTCTTCGTTTATAATTTTTTGAAACACATCGAATATCCTTCTATATATAATACGCGCATTTGAAGAAGCAAAGGAAATATCTTAATCGGAAATTTCCTTTCAGATCCTGAACCAGTCACCTCCATCCAGGCGATAGACATCAATGACACGAGGATCACGTTAACGTGGGACATCCCACGTGGACAATACGACGCTTTCGAAGTTCAGTATATAAACACGGAGGGAAATTACATACAGAACATCACGTCCGTGCATTTCATAACCATCTCTGACTTGAAGCCACACAGAAATTATACTTTCACCCTGGTAGTCCGTTCAGGTACAGAGTCCTCCTATCTGAGGATATCGAATCCTCTCAGCGCGAGCTTTACGACCAGCGAGTCCTACCCTGGCAAGGTAGAAAAATTCCATCCCACGGACATTCAGCCCAGTGACATTAGCTTCGAGTGGTCGTTACCTAGTCAGGAACAGAATGGCATCATCAGAAAATACACTATTACGTATGGCTTGGAGGTGAGTCTATGTTTGTCATTGATATATGTATGTACATATGTAAGCATATTAGAAATGGAGTTGGCGTTTCGTGAAATATTATTTCCATTGTTCGACTGCTTTTTCATATAAGTACGAAACTGTCGAAAACAAATCATTTGAAATTCTCTAGCATAATTAATAATCAAAACGAGATATTTTAATTTCGATTGAATTAAACAGTAAGTAATCTGAAAATATGAATTATACGAGCTATAAAATAAATTCTCATTTTCTATAATAATTGATATACCAGGATATCCTTACGACTTTAAAACCAATCTGTAATTCTATCAAAACGATATCATTATTTATTTCCCATCTTCATATTCCCATTGCATCGTTCAATTGTTCCAATAACGCTGAATCGTTTTCTTAAATAGGATTCATCTATGCTCCTTCGAACAAACGACTATTTTTCATTTGAAAAATGATCATTAGCATTGATCTGATCGTGAGTCACGCGTTTGCCCCACCATATTCGACGTACGCCGCGCATAAACTGAAGCTTAGAAACGTATATCATGAAAAAAAAGAAAAAAAAATGAAGAATGAACGAAATGGAAACAGTGACATACCTCTAAAATCGTTGACGATCATCGAAGCCGAGGCTTGGAGTCATTTAGAATCATTTCGAAAGAGCATCCGAAGAACTTCCCGCGAAGCTGCGTGATTGGATTAAATTAACAGGATGCCTATTGTCGTTGTCATTAGGGTTCGACCCACACTCAGATGCAGGACTTCAGGCCAAACGAGTACCGTGGTGTCATCAAATCTCTCATACCTGGAAAGACGTACATCTTCCGGATCCAGGCGCAGACAAAAATCGGCTTTGGCCCCGAAGCCGTGTGGAAGCAAAAGATGCCGATCCTGGCACCACCGAAACCATCCACCCAAGTAGTGCCAACGGAGGTGTGCAGAAGCAGTACCACGATTCAAATACGGTTCAGAAAGAATTATTTCAGCGAACAGAATGGTGCGGTCACGTCTTATACGATCATCGTAGCGGAGGATGACAGTAAGAACGCTTCGGGATTGGAAATGCCCAGTTGGAAGGATGTCCAGGCTTACAGCATATGGCCACCGTATCAGGTAAGGTTTCTGTGAGATAATTTTTATTATAAAATAATAAAAATCTTTAAATGTATCTATAATTCTAAAAATTCTAATCTGTAAATCTAAAAATGTGTAATATTCAATTTTGTTAATTCTTGGAAGTAATTGGAGGATGGAAAATTTGTCCCAATGTTTGTTCTCTGTTGAGCGTTATTTAATTGCTTCTGTGGGATATGGGGTATGGATGTCATAGTCTGTGAGTAGGTGGTTGAAAATGATTGGAAAGTTCGTATTTCGGTAGTAGACAATTAAATTGATATTTGTGAGGTTATTATTCGGTAATTTTTGTAGCATGATTTTTTCTATTAAATTTTATGCAGTTTTGGAAAGTTTGGACAGATTTTCATTTAACTTGTAGATTTTGGAATTTAAATCAATATCTGTGAAAACAGATTTAATCTCATTTAGTTATTCATTTAATTGTATCTGTGTCTCAAATTCTATGAATTAATTCAGATGCACGAATATAATTTGTAGTGGCATATATAATTTACATTTATTAAATACGTACGTGATAAATACAATTATACTTCTCTCCCTACTCGATATGAAATATAATCATGCAGTTTTATAAAAATTGGAAAAAGGAATAATTAGATCTACCTACTTTTTGCCTAAGACAATATTTACTTTGTGACGCCTACTATAGAAAAATAACCTACGATTTTCTTAGATTCGTTAAATCTAATTGAATCTACTACAAATTACTTCATACTCGTTAACCACAGACGACATAAAACTGACTTCTTACTTTTTACCGTGCTTTTACACCTCTTTTATGTTTCTCGGATTTCAATATTACATAACGTATAATAGAAACAACCAATAAAAATAAATAGTCTTACAAGATAAAACCAAACGACCACGAGCTAATTATTATTGAAATCACTCGAACACTAAAAAAATTCTTCACTCGGCTCTATTTCACATTTTATCATTTTCCAATGCAAAAGGAACTACGATTATCCAAAACGAAGTAAAAAATTACGAAAAAAAAAGAAAAAACAAATTAAATGCTGCAGAATTATTAACGTCGCAGAAGGAATTCCAAGCGCCTTCTCGAAATGATACATGACAGTCGATTATGTGAAATTTTTTCATCACACGTGGGCTCCGTATCACATTCTATCGTTTTCCAATGCAAAATGCGCTACAATTACCCGAAACGAAAAAAAAGAAAATATTCGAAATAGAATAAAGGAAGTTAAATACGGCGGCATTGATAAAGTCACAGAAGGAATTGTCCAACGCCTTCGAGAAGACACATGACAGTCGATTACGTGAAATTTTTCATGGCAGGTCGACCGGGCTCGATGCGTCACTCATGCTGCGGACGATATTGCGATAGAGATTTAAAATAATTAATGCGGCGCATTACGGGCAGCGGCTCGTTTGCTTGCAAGATCACGAACGAACAACGCAAACGACCAAGAAATACGCGCACTCAAGACCACGCATAAACAATCGTGTTCCTGCAATTGTTGCATTACGTGTACCACTCCGCGTGCAACAGTCGATCAGCGAACGCGCGTGATCCCGGTCGTCGTTAGAGGCCGTGGCGAACTCTGCGTGTCACTGTCGTAATGGTGAAACGCGTGGAAATCAAATGGCCAGCATCCTTGTGCCATATAAAAATCATGGAATGTAAATACAAATATAATCAGCGTTATGTGATGAACAGATAGATCGACGTGGAGAGTCTCAGTCGATGAAGTGTCAGTTAAAGTTGGCAATGAGATTGCTGAGATTCGAAGGGAATTTTGGAAATTGTGGATAGACAGGAATTTTCGAGACTTTATAAGTATTTGAAAATGGATTTTGTTGATTTTCTTGTAATAGTGTGGGTTTAGGTGTGTAGATTTTATGGGTTAATAGTGCTGTGAAGCATCTGCTTTTAAGTGTTTCGAATAAGCGTGAGTGTAGATTACTATCCATGGGGTTGGGAAATTACACCATGAATGTTGTGCGGAACTTGATTCTGGAAACTAAGAAATTCTTTACGCAGGTAATAACAATTCTGCTGGTATTAATTGTTTACACAGAAGTTTCGATCTTCCGTGTGATATTATTTTCAAATTACCATTCGTGAAATAATTACTGATTCTATGTTCTAGATTGTATTTTAAATATTGTCAATTTAAACTATTTATTACTCATTGTAATCAAATTTTATTCAAATTTTTATATTCATATGCAGCTGATATAGAATTAATATAGTGTTCATATTCGGTTGGAAATTAATATTCTATAGCACTATCAAATGTTTTGCTATTCGACTTTTCATTATTTCATTATAGCACTATCCAAACGTTTAATTAGAATAGTAAGCGTAATATTTCCTTCATCGCTTCAGTATTTATCACCGATTCTCACTGTTATTGTCACTACTTTCGTCAATATCTTGTGTGCAATATCGTGATAAAGAAGATAACTGTGATAAAGTAGAAAAACTTTGAAAGCGTTACTTAGTTTGAAACATTGATCGTATTCGAAAACGATAGAATAGAAAAATAACATTTAAATGGTTCAAAATAATCTGTACATATAGTAATTTGACTCACCTTAACATATTAAATATTATCAAACATATCCTGTAAAATTGAACTTATACTAAATTAAATTAGTTCAATATCACGGTGAAACAAATGGAAATCTTAATTGCCATAAATAATTAGAACAATCTTATTGATATTATCTTATTTTTATATTTTCATAAATCATTATTCTATATTTTCGAAATGCACGTAATTTTTCTAACCAAAAATTTCTATTCGATATCAAACATTCCATTATAATTGGCGGTATATTGCACGGTCGTTTATTAATATCTCGTGATCTATTAAAATTGCACTAATCGTAACGATTCTTGGAACTATTTAAATCGTCGTTCTATTGATAAAAACGCAAATTAACTTTCCAATGTAGAACTAGCAGTTTCTATAACCTCTATTTATTGCGTCCCTGGGGGACTTCCTTATGCCGAAGAAGCACTTTATAACCGCCGTATACATAAATCAGAACATTAAAAAACGCTAACAATTTATCAAGACGTTTACGCGATTCGGTGTACGCTATATAGAATCAGCTCGGCGCGAATATAAAAAGGTATTACGTGATATTTTCCATTACTCGAGCAATTTCCCGATACGCCCTTACCGATACACCTCAGTGATCGATTGGTCGCGAAAATAGCATTGATCGAAGACACATACGTATATTAACATCAACGTATTCGACATACATCGGTATACGCAAATAATAATAATTAAAGTGATACAATGAATATAAAAAGGTTACATACATCGCAGTTGGAAAAGGAAAAGAGGGGATTTTGTATTAAAAAGATAAACGAGTAGAGAAATAATGGACGGGGTGATTTTATATTAAAAAATAAGTCAAACTTATGGAGCAACGTTTTTGAGAAAATTTACTTGAAATATTTGCGTGTCTATTTTCCCATTTAATAGACTTTTCCATTCATGTTTATATTAATAAATATTTCTCATTAGATGAATTGCAATATTCATCAGTTTTTGTATATTATTCTCTCGATTATAATAGCCAGTATTCATCGATCTGCAGACATGATTTGTGTATAGTTAATTACGTACGAGACAACAAATATTTTATGTTAATTTTCTCGAGTACAAAGTCTCGTATCAAAAGATTGTATTCTGTATTCTCGATTTATTTTTATACGTAGCATCGAATCTTCTTGGTTGTGTCGCTATTTACAGGACACCTTGTACAATTACGTTCGTATTTCACTAATAATTTCTCCGGAATTGTGACGATTTCAGCAATTGCAGAAATGCAATGTATCATATCCGTTATTTCGATTCGTTTGATAGTTCTAGAGTTAATACGAATTTGACGTATCTGTGCCAACTATGTCACATATTTTTATCTTTTATCTATCACAGTTAATACATTTCTATGCCATTTTATGCATTTATTTGCTACTTTGCGATTTATATTTATTACAAATCGTAATGTGCAATATTAGACTATAGTAAATATGGAAGATTTATTGCGAATGCTACTTAACTTTAGATAAGCGTCGTTCACGAAGATCTCGATGAGATCAGAGATCAGCGTCTAAATCACGAGCACGTGGGTGTTCGCGAAGCAATTTTTAAGTGGCCAGTGTGCCAAACATTGAATGTACTTTACACTTACAACTTCTCTTCCAGCAAAATTTAGGCACGATAAGGTACCCTCTGACATAAGCTAACTATAATACAATAGGGCCTCTCATATAGAAATTAATAGGGAGACAAAAGAGTTCGGATAATGAAATTTTCAGATAAAAGAACAGCCATCTTTCTGATTAATCCGATTAAAAATCTTTTGATTAAAAATAACAAATTTATTCGAATAAAGATAAATTTATTTAAACAAAACTTTAATTTATTTAAAATAAAAATCGAGGGTTTATTTAAACCCTCATTTCGTTTATTTGGATAAGAAGGAATGGTCTCGTTAATCAACTATTGCCAGTTTTTAAAAATTTTTCATTCAATTCTAGAATTCATCATGGATAATATATTATAGAATTGGAGTTCTTTGTCTCTTTGTTGTCGAAACAATCGTAATACAATGTCCTCTACACTTTTAGTTCTTGAATTCGTTAACCTTTTCTTCTTAGCTCTTATCCTCTCAGGAATCCACGTCTTTCATGTCTATGACCATAAATTCCCTTGCACCGAGTATCCTTGCTAATCTTCTTACACCTTCACCACATTTCATCCCTTTAATTATTTGATATTTTACTTCAACACTTAAAATTACCCATTTCTCTTCAATTATCATGTCTAATTATCACGCTATTAATTTCACACCAAATTCTCATGATTAGGATTCCTGTAAATTATATCTGTATATATTATCCAGCAAATTTAATGTCTACGAAACGTTATCGAGGTAACAGGACGTTTGATAATAAAATCTTCGAATATTATTGCTTTTTGATAACGGAGGTTAGAATACCTGGAGCTTCACCGTATTCAGAGTCCCCTTTTCGACGAAGAGGTTGTCAATCTCTGATACGCATACATGGTCACTGAATATTCCATTCGAATGATTTAGATAGAAATACATTAGATACAAAGTCTTTGTTTTATCTACAGGTGATGGAGCCGTATTATCCTTTCAAAAATGGCTCCGTGGAGGATTTCACGATCGGCAGTGAGAATTGCGACAACAAGAACGGATACTGCAACGGGCCGCTGAAGTCTGGATCCACCTACAGAGTAAAAGTTCGAGCGTTCACCGCACCGGATAAATTCACGGACACCAGTTACAGTTTTCCGATTCAAACAGGTGAGAAAGATCGTGCGAAGAGCTCGTCGCGAACAATCGCTCGAGTCAGCGGTGTGTTGGGAAATTTATTTTTAATTTATGGAACGGGAACGTGACAAAGTCATGGATTTTTCACCTGTTCAAAGGATTTCTAATTTCGCCATTGCGACTTCTTCTTGTATTCTTTGTCGGACAGTGTTTTAATTGTATAATTTGTCGTGCAGTTCTTTTTCTCGTCGTTTCGAGTTCGATGTCTAGAACATCGAAGGATTTAATTATGGCGTAGTTATAGAAAGCTTGCTAAATTCATGCCTCGTTATTTCGTGTACATGTCTGCCCAAGGATTGCTGCTGGCAGGTAAGATAGAAAGTGTCGGTTAATAATTCGATACTGGAAGATTTTTACACGATTTCTAAAGTTCGATTCCTATTTTTAATATGATATATTTAATATTTTCATAATTCTATTTCTTCGTGAAAATTATTGTACTGTATTTCTATATTGCTTTCTTGTATAACACACTGTAGTTTTTGGAAAAACGGATTCATTACTTCTAGGTTAGATAGTACTCGTTAAGCGATGCAGGAAAGTCCTGATAACCATAGATGGAAAAAGTAATATTAAATAAACAAGTCATTTACTTAATTATTTATAACTTTATTCTAGGAAGAAAATTATTTACAATTTTATTTTTTTAAATTCATATTAATTTTTTGATTCACGCTTATTGGGACTTTGCTGCTTCATTTGACAAGGACCATTTACATTAGAAGTTACGAAGTCCCTTTTTCGTCTCCTTTGTGTAGAAACTGAATTTTATATTTTAAGGTTCAGATATTTATTTAACAGCGTTTATGATTAAAATTTTATTTTCTTCGAAACAGATAAGGACAATACGGCTATCATAGTTGGAGTCATGGTTCCAATAGTACTTTTATTGACTCTATTGGGTATTGGGCTGCTGGTCAGACGAAGAAGAAGCCAAGGACGTAAAACAACTGAGACTAGAACCACAGACAACTTGTCTTTACCAGACAGTGTTATTGATACCAGGTAAATGTGATTACAAGTGCCCAAGTACCTTAAATACATCTTATATAATATATAATAATATATTTTCAAAACCTACATTACGTTTAATTTTTTATTTTCTGTATTTGAAATTACTCAATGATGGCTAGTTTCTTATGCAACACAAATTCGTGAGTTTTGTTCGACATTTGCGATATGATAATTACAAAATTATAAATTCATAACGATAACCTTTTGTAATGCTAAAAAACAATGGGCGATAGACAGAAATTGTTTCGTAATTAATTTTTCTTTTTACAGTTATATTTCGTAATTTTTCTTTTTACAGTCGACCAATTAAAATAGAAGATTTTTCGGAACACTATCGTACCATGTCAGCGGATTCCGATTTTCGTTTCTCGGAGGAATTCGAGGAACTGAAACATGTTGGAAGAGATCAGCCCTGCACAGCAGCTGATTTACCGTGTAATAGACCGAAGAATCGTTTCACAAATATTTTACCTTACGACCACAGCAGATTTAAGTTGCAACCTGTAGATGACGAGGAGGGTTCTGATTACATCAACGCCAATTATGTTCCCGTGAGTTCGAACTTCTGTATTTCTCTGAAAACGTTTAAATTCAATGACTTCATTTCTTTCAAACTCTTGGAAACATTTTTATTCAAACCACTCATCATTGAACCAACATTTTATTAGAATATTTACTGAGAGCGTTATTAACCCTTTGCACTCGAGAGGTGAGCTTCAGTTACCATTCCATAAAATTTGGAAGACCGATATTAATTAATATATCGAAATCAAATAATTAGAAATTAATGTATCGAAATCAAATAATTCTACAATTCTATTATTATACAATTCTTTATTTACTGCTCAAAAAAGTATCGTCAGTTTTTTAGCAAAGTATCTTTAAATTTCTACTCTTCTCTAGCCAAGAAATCGTTGAGTGCAAAGGGTTAATAAGATGATATTAAGTAAATCGAATGTAAAATAATGGAATTTATTTGCAACTATTACTAAAATATTTTCTATTCCCCATTTATCAGGATTTTTCATGCCTACAACAATTTATTAAATTTTATTTCTCAGTATATTTTCGATCTTCATCCATTTCTTAAATTACGTTATTCAGTCCATGACACAATGTGACACAATGTCCCACTTAGTTTGACAACGTCACTGTTCGACGATCTTCTGTTGATTGAGGAAAAGATTTACAATTGGTTGACTTAACGTGACATTATTTTGTACATCAGGGTCACAATTCTCCAAGAGAATTCATCGTCACGCAAGGTCCTTTGCACTCGACTCGTGACGATTTCTGGAGAATGGTCTGGGAAAGTAACAGCAGAGCAATAGTGATGTTAACGAGGTGTATTGAAAAAGGCAGAGAAAAATGTGACCACTATTGGCCCGTGGATACACATCCTGTTTATTACGGAGACATTTGTGTTACGATATTGAACGAGACACATTACCCTGATTGGAGTATCACGGAGTTCATGCTGTGCAGAGTAAGCAACTTATTTTTCTCGTTTTCTAATGAAACTATATTGTATTCATATAATTCACCCTGTATTATTATTTTAATACAAAAATTTGTAAGAAAAAGGGAGATTGAAACAGTATTTCAATAGTGTAATTTAATTTAATATACAGTAATGGATATAACAATACACGATAATATAGTAACAATAATACTGTAATTTAATATTTTAAATAATTTCTATTAAGTACTTACTACTTATTTCTATATTTCCCATAATGTTATCAACTTTCATTTAGGATTATCCAAAGCTTTATTATCCTAAACTTAAAAAGAAATATGTTTCTGTAATACTGTATAATTTTTAAGTCTAATATCATGTACCGCTAACATCCTAATTCCCAACAAACCTACAACTATATCCACTAATTGTAAATGTGGTCTGATGAAATCTATATTGCAATTCACATGAAACAGGAACAACAAAGAGTATTTCAACACTCAGCTAACATTAGTCAGCCTCGCGTCATTTATATCACATCTCCATTCTTCTTACTCATCCTCGTGCAATGACCACATATAGTTAACCGAACCTTCTAAAAACAATGTATTATTACGATTTCACAGGGAGACGTGAAGAGAGTGATTCAGCACTTCCACTTCACAACGTGGCCCGACTTCGGAGTCCCGAGTCCGCCTCAAACGCTAGCTAGATTCGTTCGGGCGTTTAGAGAACGCGTGAGGCCAGATCAGAGGCCGATTGTCGTCCATTGTAGCGCAGGAGTAGGTCGCAGTGGAACATTCATCACGTTGGACAGAATACTTCAGCAGATCTTGGTATCGAAGTACGTCGACATCTTTGGAATAGTCTGGGCAATGAGAAAGGAACGTGTATGGATGGTCCAAACTGAGCAACAGTACATTTGCATCCACCAGTGCCTCCTGGCTGTGCTGGAAGGTCAGGACATGACTGGACCACCACGAGAGATCCACGACAATCAGGGATTCGAAGGTGAGTGTCCTTTGAGATAGATGTCTCCACGATTAGGTAATTTTGTTCAATTTGAAAAAGAGAGTTTGTTCCTTGCAACACGAATAGGGATGTGTGAGTACCGCTCGTGTTTCGAACACTTGTCTTTAGCGAAGAGTAGTTTCTAGTTAATTGTATGAAGGTTCTTGATGAACGTTTTGTTTTATTTCTAAGATGTAAGTAGAGTGTTTATTCAAAATATCATTTACCTGTGTTATTTTTGCAGTAAAATAATTGATTGGGTAATAGAAATATTCCAGATATTACAGTAATATTTTAATTCACAAAAATTGTTCAGAGTTTTAACATAAGTTGAAAAAGGTTCTGCATAAAACTGGATGTTTTGAGTACTCACACATCCCTAACGATGAAACATACTTTGAACAACGAGTAAACGAATTAACGAAAATACACGATGAAATAAAAGAACGCAATTTTCATAAATATATCTTTCAAATATGATTTAGTTCGTGATTATTATTAAATAGCAAACTACTCGAAGCTTCAAGTATATTTTGTCCCAAGTTCATACAATTCAGCACATAATGAATAAATTCATTGAAGTGTAACTTTCGATATTTACATTACGTTGTTGGGTAACCGATGCATTTCCTCTCTTTGTGTGAATTAAATTGTTCAAAACGGAGAATAGTAGTGCATGAATAATTCGAGATTGACGAATTTACCAAAGTCCAAGGTACTTTGGGAGAACGAAAAATTCATCGTTTAAAAGATACCCATCAGTTGTCCAATTCTTGTCTCGCAATATCAGTAATTCGTGAAATTAATTTTCTCAACCTTTCTTTTTTTAATATCACGAACTACTGCAATTGCGTTGGCAATTTGTATACCGTGACATCTTTATGATAACTCTTGAAAAGATACTTTATTAACAATCAAAGTATGAATCTTAAGAGGTGATGGTGATGGTGATGGTAGTAGTGGTTTTGGACTATTGGTCACTTTGAGATAAGAGATAAAAAGAGAAAAGGTATATTCGGTTTTGTGTCACATGCAGAAGTGTTGCTTTTGGTAAATTGTATCACGTCCATACGTAGTGAATCACTTCCCCTCTCCAACCTCGTAATCCCTTTGAATCCAGGCAAGAATCGAAGCTCCGTTGAAAACACAAAGACTCCTGCTGAGGATGAAAAGGAAAGGTGACCCTCGAACTGCGATTCCGGCGTCGATGGTAATTTCGATCCTGGCTTATTTCTTCTTCAACCTGTTTTCTATTTCTTTCTTGTACCAAGTGTTGCATGATTACTAGTTCTACATATCATTGCACGTGGCTTGAGAGCTAATCGAACGAAAGTAACACGTATATACGTTTCGAATATACAGGCTGTGACAGATATATATATATATTTTTTTCATTTTTTTTTCTTTTTTCTTTTTCATTCAATGATAAGTTTGCCTTTTTACATAAATTTTTCCAGCAAAGAGGAACCATGCAGTGGAGTAATAATCTTAACGTGCACCTTTTATTTATTATTTTTGTTAAATAAAATAAATAAATAAATAAGTTTTGTTTCGAATATACAGGCTGTGACAGATATATATATATATATTTTTTTCTTTTTTTTTTATTTATTCAAAATATCATTTACCTGTGTTATTTTTGCAGTAAAATAATTGATTGGGTAATAGAAATATTCCAGATATTACAGTAATATTTTAATTCACAAAAATTGTTCAGAGTTTTAACATAAGTTGAAAAAGGTTCTGCATAAAACTGGATGTTTTGAGTACTCACACATCCCTAACGATGAAACATACTTTGAACAACGAGTAAACGAATTAACGAAAATACACGATGAAATAAAAGAACGCAATTTTCATAAATATATCTTTCAAATATGATTTAGTTCGTGATTATTATTAAATAGCAAACTACTCGAAGCTTCAAGTATATTTTGTCCCAAGTTCATACAATTCAGCACATAATGAATAAATTCATTGAAGTGTAACTTTCGATATTTACATTACGTTGTTGGGTAACCGATGCATTTCCTCTCTTTGTGTGAATTAAATTGTTCAAAACGGAGAATAGTAGTGCATGAATAATTCGAGATTGACGAATTTACCAAAGTCCAAGGTACTTTGGGAGAACGAAAAATTCATCGTTTAAAAGATACCCATCAGTTGTCCAATTCTTGTCTCGCAATATCAGTAATTCGTGAAATTAATTTTCTCAACCTTTCTTTTTTTAATATCACGAACTACTGCAATTGCGTTGGCAATTTGTATACCGTGACATCTTTATGATAACTCTTGAAAAGATACTTTATTAACAATCAAAGTATGAATCTTAAGAGGTGATGGTGATGGTGATGGTAGTAGTGGTTTTGGACTATTGGTCACTTTGAGATAAGAGATAAAAAGAGAAAAGGTATATTCGGTTTTGTGTCACATGCAGAAGTGTTGCTTTTGGTAAATTGTATCACGTCCATACGTAGTGAATCACTTCCCCTCTCCAACCTCGTAATCCCTTTGAATCCAGGCAAGAATCGAAGCTCCGTTGAAAACACAAAGACTCCTGCTGAGGATGAAAAGGAAAGGTGACCCTCGAACTGCGATTCCGGCGTCGATGGTAATTTCGATCCTGGCTTATTTCTTCTTCAACCTGTTTTCTATTTCTTTCTTGTACCAAGTGTTGCATGATTACTAGTTCTACATATCATTGCACGTGGCTTGAGAGCTAATCGAACGAAAGTAACACGTATATACGTTTCGAATATACAGGCTGTGACATATATATATATATATTTTTTTCATTTTTTTTTCTTTTTTCTTTTTCATTCAATGATAAGTTTGCCTTTTTACATAAATTTTTCCAGCAAAGAGGAACCATGCAGTGGAGTAATAATCTTAACGTGCACCTTTTATTTATTATTTTTGTTAAATAAAATAAATAAATAAATAAGTTTTGTTTCGAATATACAGGCTGTGACAGATATATATATATATATTTTTTTCTTTTTTTTTTCTTTTTTCTTTTTCATTCAATGATAAGTTTGCCTTTTTACATAAATTTTTCCAGCAAAGAGGAACCATGCAGTGGAGTAATAATCTTAACGTGCACCTTTTATTTATTATTTTTGTTAAATAATAAATGCTTACAAGGTAACTACGAATTTGTATTATTATAATTTAATTTGTCTTTTTCATATTATCACGATTTACCAAGTTTGTGTTATTATCATTTAAAATGTAGTCAATGTTACTTTGATTTAATGACGTTCTGTTGAAAGAAATTACGATAAATCAGCGAAAGGAATAGTTAATAATCTGTCGTAACGAAAATGAAATTTACTTCGTGGAAATGAATATGATTTTATATTTTCGTAATTTATAATTTCAAGTTTCATTAGTTGCAGAAATATTTTAGATAGTTAGAAGTGTCAGCCTATCTTGCATTATGAAATTTTTGTGTATTATTCTTCTCCATATAATACTGTAAATTAATATGCATAAATACTGAATGAAGCATGAAGTAAAAGATTTCGTTGTACATTGTAAACTTTATGTTAAGAAATTTCATTTTAGCTTTGGTAACAGTAATTTGAATGTCAACGACTTATGAAAGCTGTTATTTTCATGTGTACGCATTTTCTTAGACCATAATTATTGAAACGTCTAGTATCTAGTAAACTTTTACAGGAGGAAGCTATAAAATTATTTTTTAATCTTTGAACATCATTCCTAACTTTTTTATTATAGATAGAAACGATGGAAAATTGAAAATATCAAATAAAAATATTTTGAAAATTTTTAGATATTAATTGCCAATAATTTTTATTTCGAAATATTTTGAAATATCATTTACAAAACATGAAATGAGAGAATAAATAAAATATTTTTAAATATTTAAAAATACTATATATAAAATATTAAAATAACAAGAAAAATAGTTGAAAATATACGCAAATGCAATCATTTATGGACTAATGATAAATTATATGTAACTAATCGATCACTAACCACAGTGGTGTAGTTCAAGTGAATTAACGTCAATTAGTAAGGCATAACAAAGTCACTAATATTGCATTAGGATCAGTATGCCAGCATCGCACTAATTGTCCTCGCACTTAATCGAATGGCTTTCTGATTGGTTTCTACAAAACTAGACAGCATGATTTTCATTCAATTCAAACGTGCACAATTAAACAAAATTAACCAGAATTCTCACTGGTGCTCGTGTGTATTCTTACAGACGACGAAGGAATAGCGGAATCAGGAATGTGATGTTCGAACGCCTCGTTTCATTCAGGGATCAACGAACACGAGGATACTTTGGAAGTATTTTAAAAAGGTGCGGTGCACCGACAAAAATACTGTCACGATACGTGCTTGGCACTCTGTCAAAGTAGCGAGAATGTATACGAAGGAAAATCGTCGATCAAAGTGTTCGATATAAGCTCGAGGCTAAGTTCGACGAAGAGGACGACGCGTGACGATTCCTCAGTCATGGTACCAGAAGTGTTTCTACGTTCTCTAAACGAAGGACAGAACCGATTAGTTAGCTCTGTTGCCTAGAGAAGCATACGTTCAAGTGATACGTCTTCTTAGTTTTCTTTCTTTAGCGACGACTTGTGAGGATTCAAGGACCAAGGCTAGACGCGTGGCACGATGAATCGTTGAACGTTTCGTGGACGTGGTAGTAAACGAAATTTGCTCAAGGTCGTCCCGACAACACAATGCTTGAAGCTTAAACTGTCGACAATAATCGCTTGTTTATGTTGAACTTTCATCGCGAAAACGTTGATCGAGTGAAAGCAGGTATTAGCTAACTGTAGTTTGTCATAGATCAATCGATCAATGTGAAAGAACAAGAGAAGCGTTAGTCCTATCTTTTACGTGGTAGACGATGTACTATACCCTCATCCAATCATACTAGACACATTCATCCGACGAGACGTGCAGAAAAATTTCATTTCCGAAGAGAAAGTGGAAGACCTTTGAGAGAGCAAAGGCTTTGAAAGAGTCACAGGAGCTTTTCCAAAGAAGTAGCCGACGATTACCGAAGTCGAATAAGAACACTGAAAGTCGCTCTGACAAACGATGTTGGAATTCTAATTTAAAATTTAGGAAAACATCGGATTGAGGAAAATTTGACGAAAATTGCAAGAAATTCAATGGAGACCAGCTGTTCGTGTATCTATAGCTTTGGAAGTGGATCGTTTCATTGGTCATTACGAAATACACTAAGAAAGGGAAGCTTCTGAACATGGATGGTGTTATTTTTCAACAATTACACGTGTAAATGATTATAGACGAAAATGTAGCGTTTCAGCGACAAGTGTTCGAAAAGAGTGGGGATGAAATGATGTAGCATCGCAGAGAACCTTTCGTAGGTAACAACATGCGTTTGAACGTTGGTCTGTCTCATTGTGTAAATATGAATCGCTGTGTTCATATCTTCGAACTGATCAGGCGGTTTCTGAAACGATCACCAGAGAGCATATTGACGAAACTGACGACATATTCCATTTCGAAGTTTCGTCGAGGGTATTTCTGCCTCGATTTCCACGTCGACACGATCGATGCTCGCGTTTAGGTACCTATCGTGATGTAGATAAGTACAGATTGCATATCTTAAGGATTGTAAGAACCGCATTGGGTTGCCACGTCTCGATAGAAACGTTTGGTTCGCAACAAATCAACTTATGTAAGCGATACAATGATTCTAACAATTGCAAATTGAAAATAGAAAATTCTAACAAATTTTCACTTTGCGGCATAATTTTTATTGTCAATAATATTATGTACATTTGTTATTTATATTACTAATTAATCGTTACTTTTACAAACGTTTTAATACGTTTCCATCGTGAATTGAACTAGATGCTTGAAATTACAAATTCTTTCGAAATTCTTTGAAAATTTCATCGGTCCCGAGTAACAAGATTTCCTTGTAATAACCGATTTGTTGAGAACCCGGACGAAAGTTGGATCTGCAACGATGCTAATTGAAATCGCGAGTGGCAACCATCCGTCCAAGGGCTGTAGTAGAGACGCCAATTATATGTAAAACATTGCCTAGAATGAAAAAAAAGGGGAAGGTATGAAGACGAGAGAAGAACGATTTCCTTCTTTTTTCATGACAGGGAAAGCACATGTCAGTGGGAACAAGAAACTCGCATCTTCGTAGAAGTCATATCACTTTTCACGAGAATCACTCGACGATCCGTATAATATACATATTTACTTATTGACAGTCGATTCGAAATGACGATCGCGAGATCGTCCTTGAAAGTTAATTAGCGTAGATCGTTCGTTCTCTGACATATCGTTGTCAACGTTTCGTGTCGTTTATCGTTAAACGAGACATTCCGTTTTTAATGAATTGTAAACTAAACCGAACAATGAACTGTGAAAGTGTCTTCGAGCCAAGAGATCGATGAACGTAATCATTGTGCAATTCGTGAAATATCAACGGCGAGGTCCGACGAAGAAGTCAACGATCCAACAATAATCACTATTAATCGCTAATTCGACTAACCGTCAAGCGGAAAGAGCTCAGGGCAGAGCGAAACCAAATCCTTGTTTCACGGTGAAAATAAATAGCAAACGTTGAACGACGACGCGTATAGAACGAATCGGAAGATCCGATCGTCACTTCCGGTACTTAGAGTCAGATTTGTTCGATGCTACAAAATCGTGTACTTAATTTTGTATTTACGGCGAGACAAGTAGACGTTGGTCGTGGAGAAAATCGTAGGTGTTTAAGAACAACAGGGAAAAATCGATTAACTCTCAGCAGGGTGAAACGAAATTCTCTCGATCCGGTTCCCTCGAGAAAATGGCGGAGTGACAAACTCGATCGAAGGGATTGAAATTCACTGCCCACATGTATTTTTGGAAGAACGTTTTTTATATCGCTTAAGTATGTACGTAAAACGAGTGGCGGAACACGTGATCGTATTAGAGAGAAGAATGTCCTGTCGACGCCTTTTATCGATCCGTTGATGTCTACCGGAACCGTGATCCATCGATCGACCATTCTATCCATTCTACTCGAACTAATCGAACATGATCGCCGAGATAAAAGGCAACAATTGTATCATCGTTTCGTCACACTTGTGTCCAGCAGAAATTTTCTTCAACCTAATGGAACGACTGACCGGAAGTATTCCTGCAATGTGTATCGTCGTAGGCTATCGTTATTAAGCATAACGCGGGATTAAGTATCGATATGTAAACTGATATTATCGTCAACGAATATTTTTGTAATGCTTCAAGGATGATTTGTATCGACGGATATTAGCTAAGGGAATTGCCAATCGATTGCCAAACGCAATAGAGAGTATTATAGAGCGTTAAGATTTGTATAATTGAACCCTGTTTTCCGGGCTTGTCTCCTCGTCGTAATAGACTTGCATTGTTCCGTGTATGATAAGATTTCGTAGGTATAGTATATTCTACAATTTAGGGAAGAAGAAGAAGGGATACTGTGAAGAATGGATCGATAAAGATGGAGATCGACCGGGCAACTGCAGTTTCCAGTCCATCGAATTTCGTTGTTCTATGCTACGCTGTACATGTACGCGAATATATATATTATCGAACGTATTATTGATGTTTCTCGTGTAAATGGATAATCATGATTGTCACCGGGTCGTTCGAGTTTCATTTGGAAAATGCACGCGTTCTTGTTCTCTTTATTCGTTGGTATTTTCTCGAGTATTGGAGATCGTTTTGAATTCGAACGTTTCAGCTAATCCTAGGAGTATGTAAAATGTAGATGGATATGTTCATGGTAGGAAGTAACCTTATTATTTAATCTTCTTCTACATCTTATGTTTCCTACATTTTTCTTTTCTCCATTTTTTTCTTTTTTTTTTTTCTTTCTTTTTGAAATGTAATTTTCCTGATTTCGATACGCTATTTTATGATGCACTTAGATAATTTTGTAGTAACATAAATCGTAACGTTGTCGATTTATGACATTCGTAAGCAGGTATTAAATGAACTTTTTCTATTTTTGTAAGTATTAATGTTATCAGCAAGTCGCAGGGAACGTAATTCTTTGTATTTTCTTGTATAGCTCTCCTCGTTATTTTTCAGTAACATTTTAATACCGATGTGATAATATGTTCGTATTCGCAGAGATTTTTGTACGAATTTTTATGTGAATGTAACAAACCAAAGTCGAAGAAAGGAACATTAACCAGTATTTTCTCACCTTTTATTACGTCGAGAAGTTTATGAAAATGATTATCTCTATATTAAATTAAATTAAGCTGAATTTCTATACTGTGGCATTTTATGAAATTAAAACTCTTACCTGGTCATACAAATGAGAAAATGAGAAAAACGAAGAAGATTACTGGAGGGATTGCGAATAGACAGATTTTGCGAATACGTGATACTTTATTGCATTTTGAAATTGATTCAACTCTCAGCTTCGTGCTACTATGATCCATAAATTATTATTTCTCAGTTACTTCTTATCAATGCATCGGAAAAGTATGAAATTTCACGTTGGCCCGATAATACTTCGTCACCGATGCGACACCGTAGTTTTACGCAGGCATCTGTTTTCTTGCATTGATGCGTTTAATGTGATAACTAACAATAAGAGAGAAAAATAATCATTTTTACAAACCCATTAACACAGTTTCCGTCGAAAAGCGTGCAGATGTAGGAATCAAATTTTCGATGAATTTTACCACGTGCTGAAAGTCAGGAATTACCGCGAATTCAAACTCTTTTCTAAATTATTTTGTACATAAAAAGCAGTAATTTCTGCGAAATTATTTAATAAATAAATTTTATTACGAATTTTATGAATTTTGTTCCGTTGTCAATGACTATACGCTAATTTTTAATACGAATTATTGGTATGTACGTACTCGTCGAATAAGAAAAATATTGTATCGCTTGTAAAGAGGATTACACGCTTGGTTACTGTTAACGATTTCATGAATAAGTGTTCGTGTATATTGCTTTCGTCGAACGAGATCCACGAGATCGATCGTGAATCGTTTCTTCACCCGCTCAGGTTGTCAGTATACCTACGACGTAATGCACAAATAATTGAAGAAAATTTGGGTCATTGTCTGTGTAAGTGTGCTTTTGTAGATACCACGATCATATCAGCGTAACGTAACGTAATTTAAGAACGATCTGTGTAGTAGGATCTGGATTAATCTATATTAAGGCAATTAATGTTTTACCTTATCGCAGCTTTTCGTAATGAAACCAGTAACAAAGATCGTGATCTAGATTGTCGGGTAAATTTTGCCACGTTCATTGGACAAGCATCGAATTAGAGATATTATCATAGCTTTATTGCTTATTCAGATTACTATCGTTTCGGAAATGTAGTAGATGAAAGTGCTGCGCTTGTACGAACAATGAGTGACGAAGTTGTGTATCTTTCACTTAGGTATACTTACCAAGAGGGCAAAATTGATTGCACAATTCAAAGGAAATAGACGAGAATTCGATCGAGAGTAAATTCGCGAACCTTTCGAATATTTATACGCATCGAGTTCAATTACGACACGAGATATAACGATTCGAATTTCACAAATCAAAGACAAAGCGGTACTGACCACGAATCGGAATTATTTTTATTTGCACAGTGCTCGATTTTTTGCAATCATGATTACAATGTCTTTGTAACGTATACGAAGGTCGATGAGAGTGTTTCGCTGAAATTCGATGAAAATGTATTTACCGAAGGTTTCATAGATCAATTGTCTTCGCAAAATTTATCATGGGGCATCCATTTACCATTGCAGATCGAGCACGGGAATACACGATGTGAAAATTGCGTTGTCATTAGTGTAATAAATGCGTTATTCTGTGATAAAGCATAATGCTCGAGCGAATATGCGAAATTCAATGTGCGCGAGTAGAAACAACGTTTCTGGGTGAAAACGGATGATTAATTCGGTTCGTGCCAATTACTTTTTAGTCGACTGATAAAGACCCGAATATACGACGTACAAACATCACCACACGGTTGTATGATAAATTAATTAATCGATTAAATGATGGTTAAAAGAACGCGTATCATCGCTGTTGTACATAGTACGATAATTAAGAATGGAAAGATTTGTACGTTTATATTTTTCAAATGACGCGCACAAATCGTAGGTCTGTTAACCTAGCTACGTAACGTGGTTGACCATGACGTTCACAGCTAGCTTCATGTTGCTACGCGAGCACGTGCTGTTAATATTACGTCATGTTCGAGAGGTGGTCTTCTGTCAAAGGATTCTTTGTAATTATAACCAACTATTTGGAACTTTCATTTTGTGGTGTTACTTATAAAATTATTCTTTCAGTCGGTGACTTGTAAGGAAGAGATTTGACGTGAAACGAATCGACATGATACGGAAGATTTGTATGATCGAATGTAAGCACGGACACGGCAATGGAACTGCATGAAAATAAATTAAATTTTATTAACGAACGCATCATTCGTCGTTGAATGGTTTGTACAGAAATATACGTTCCATTAAATATATACACTTTCGTAATATATTATGTTTTATCGTAATATGTATTTTTATACATAAATCCACGAAGTAAGAGGCGAGTTGAGGTTAGGAGGAAAAGTTGAATCAAAGCAGTGTATTTCTCGCGAATATGTCGTACGATCGTAATATTTTCGTTGCATAAAGATAGATAGATGTGTTTAGATATTTAAATTCGCAGGTTTGCATCGAGCATGTACCGCTATTTGAAATTTTTTCTCGACTAGTAATAACGCTGAAATTTGCGTGCGCAAGAGGGAAAATCATGTATCGCTGCGTAAGTCTGCGTTTCTTTTCTTTTGTAAATATAGAATTTTGTACCAGCTGTCAGAAGAGCTGATGATTTTACGAATCATCGATGCGAGTAACTATCATTGCGATTCGTAAAACCATCTGTGACACTCTTGTTGTAATGCTATAATAAAAACATATTAGTCTGTATCTGAAGAATTGTACAGCGTGCAAAGCACGAAAGGGCACGGGTTGCCCTGCCAAAAAACAAAAAGAAAGACGAAATATGCATATATAATAAACATGGTTCTTCCAATAAAAACCACGTTCTTTTCTTCTATTTGGTATTTGAATTTTATATTTTTCATATGCATTAAGTATTAGAGGGTTTTTAGTTGTTGGTTATTGCAGGATTATTTTTCATAATTTTGTTTCGATTATCTAGGATTAATGGTAGCATATATATATATATTCATTGGTTGAAATCAGAGTATTCGGAACATGTAAAAAGCATTGGCATAGGGTTGTTTATTATTGTAAATTGGTATAGCAGTGTCTTTATAATCTTGGTCTGAAGAATTGTGTTCAAAATACGTTCCATTATATTTCAGCTTTATGATTGTCACTTGTTATAATTGTAAATATCATATGAATTTTATTTTTTAAACATTGGTATCTTTATGTGTACCAATTGAACTGGTAGGAGAGGGAAAGAATTAAAACATATTAGATTCAAGAAATATTGTCTTTATTTTGTTCGTCTGTAGTATCAAGTATTATAAATTTTCATAGTAATTAATTTCTGTTACGTTTCCAAATATTCTGTAAGCTGTAGAGAATATCAAATAATATTAAAGACTTATGTAACTTATTATTAATTAATTTATATAGAATGTAAGAAGATCATAGTTTGAAGTTAAACTGAACAAAATTCAGTAAAAATATATATATATCTGGTAGTATTTAGAACTAGTCCAATGCCTGTGGAAATACAAGTATTTAAAGGTTCACTTATTTTTTCACAGGAGAAATAGAATATCAATAATTTTACTCTTTAAAGCATGCTTCTGTTATGAAAAATTCTACAAGGAAATATTATTTGGAAACAAATAATTATTTTACACGAGACATTATTTCCACATAATTCTTTTTTTTTTTCCTTTTTTCCTGTATTATACATTCAAGTCTACAGACATTAAAACGCGATCGTGTTAAAAATCTCGCGATTTCTATGAAATTTCTATTTGCAACATCGATTGATTTACAGTGACAAAGTACGAACACCACAAGAGAGGGTGACACGATTTTCACTCTGTATATTATTATCGTACACAGACGTGTTTCGATTATTTTTCTTTTTCGAATGCACCATATTCGTTTATTTCATTTTGCTTTACGTGGTATCTAGAAAATAAGAGAATAGAATTTCTTACGACAGAAGGTAAAGGATAACCATAAACATGAAACTAGTAGAATAGTTGAAGGTCTTTACTGTCTTACTGTTATTTTTAATTAAAAATCGCTACTTCGAAGGTGACATCCTAAATCGAATATTCGAAAGTCGACAATTTCTGCGACGATTCCGTGACATGTGTCTGAGAGGATGAAGCTAATGACGGTGAGGGTAAATTAGACGTCCTTGAATTCAATGGCACCTTCGGAGGCAATGGGCCCATTTTGTTACGAGTCTTCATGTTTGGCTCCAGCGTCACGTTTCCACTATGTGGACGTCCTGAATATCGAAAATAGAAATATCACACGAATGAACATACAAGTCGATTGTGTGGTTAATTCACGAATGAAATGTAATTTATCGACCTCGTTTTATTATTTATGGAAAGAATAATAGGAAATAAACCTTGGAAATAGACTAGAAATAAATAGAAAGTAATGTATGTAAAACTAAAAATGGAAGTTAATAATAAGGAATAGAGTTAATAAATGGTAATAAAGGAATAAAGGAGTAAAGGAGTAAAAAGAATCGTTAACTCTGACATAGGGATGATGTTTCTCTAAATATATAATTTTTTCAATCTGCCAGCTTTTCGTATCTTCTCAACAATTAATTATCTTTTATTAATTATCCCTCTAATTTCTGAAGAATTAAATTTTTATAACGTTATTTTGAGCCAAAGTAGGGGTTCTTAGTAAATAAACTAATTTTTTCTCACTTCAGTGTCTGTATATGGTAGTAACTATTTTTAGAATTTTTAGAATTAACTGCGAAATTCTTTAACGAGGAAAGTATTTATATTCGCTGCATTAAAAGATACGAAAATAATCTAATATAATGAAGACATATTCCTGTAAATAAGTGTGTGTCCCTGTGGTTGGTAAAGAGAAAGTACTCGAACTGAATTTAAATACAAGAGAAATTTATTCGTCTCTCATTTGAGAATTTCAAATAACATAGAAAGGATATATTTTCGGACATATTAAAAAATATTTCGTTATTCAAAGTGACTTTTTCACAACACTATGGTATACATTTTGTATGGAGAAAGAACTGAATACTGGTATAGTAGCTCCCGGATAAGTGATCACTTGACCAACATAAGATACAATCTTTTTGGTTATGATGCTGAATATTTCAGTAGATACTGAATAGAAACTAGGATATAATAGAGATAAGATTGTAAAAATTTTGTAATTTAATGACAAAATAGAATAGCATGTTTTTAAATTGTTATAAAGTTTAAGAAAAATCTTTTAGTCTCTTTATTTTCATCTTGAAATCTAAAGAAATATTTAATCTAATTATAAAATTATAAAATAAATTCAGAACTTAAATCAGTTTTGAGTTGAAATAGTATTATATGATTCTGAGTAAGCGTTCTATTTTTTGACTTTTTCTCTATAACCCACATTGCCGTTTTTACACTCGAAACTATATTGCAGATGAATCCTGTATCGATTTCCTATAGCACTGGACAAGATTTTAGATTTTCCGGTCTCTTCATATTTCTGTCAATTCACTTATACCAAAACAGCCGAAATGCCTTTACTTTACACGTTTTATCGATTCTACAATTTCACAGTATGGTGGTCGCTAGTATATTGCTTCGAACCCTTATCTTGTCATTTTCCATCAGATTTCCGTCAATTTTCCCGTCAATTCTCGTCGATGTGCTTGAAAATGTAAGCTTTTACATCAGATGAATTTTACGATCTCGTCTCACGTTGGCTACTGTCGAATGAGGTCGTGTAGTTGTTCTATAATGTCTAGTCATGAAAAGTTATTAAAATAATTATAATAAATAAAATTATTAATTCTCCTAACATTTAATTTATTAAACTATATAAATAAATTTTTTGATGACTATATAAATATTAGACTTTCGCTGTTAGATGATTAATCGAGTTCGAAATTTTTATTTTAAAGTTTGAAATTATTCTTTTGATCGGTCATTCATTAATCCCATCAGACTGAAGCATGAATGACCATTGCGTGCAACTATGATGACTAAAAGTGGAGATTGAAGTAAGATAGTTGATTTCAAGGTACTTTAGTTGAAATGAAAAAGTTGAATGATCAGAAACTATCGTATTCTACTTATGTATATCTAAAACTGGATAAAAATACTTCTTTATGCGCAAAGGATATAAAATATAATAATTCTTATTATTATAATATAATAATATATATAAATATAATCATTCTAATTACTTTTCTTTCTTTTAATAGTTTTACAGTTTAACCCTTCCACGAGTACGCGTTTTAAAACAGCTTTAAGACAATATTCCGTTTAACTCACTAGCGCCACCACGATTCGTAACTGCAATAAGCGTACCGTAAATATCGTATATATCGTCAAAATATTTTCTTGTTTTACTGATATAATCTTGAAATTTTCTTCGTACTGTACGGCTGTACTCGTGAAAAGGTTATGGTTAAGGTTAAGTTCGTTGTAGTCAGACAAATCTTTCTTTTGGGAATAAAGGTAATTTTCGTTACTAGATTATACGAGCTCCTGTTTGTTGAGTTTATAGTGCAAAACACTTGGCAGACTCTTTTTTACTTTCCTCTTAACTGATTCAGCATTCTTGAGAAAATTCCTGGCGCGGTATCTTCTACTGTCTTTTTATCATCGTTGTCCTCATTATTAGGATGCCGGCGCAAAATGCGGCTAAGAGAGCCTGCTCGGGGGTGGAACAGCTTTTTCGGTGAGCCATCTTTATCCACCAGCTTCAGCATTCTGCCTAAAGAGTTGCTCTTCTCCTTTTTCGAAGCTTCCTCGCTACAGCTCTCTACAGATTTAGTTGGGTTCTGACAAAAAGAGAGGTACAATCTCAATCTCTTTAGAAAATTATCAGTGAGGTTATTAAACGGTCCGGTACACTTATTGCGGAACAAAAGGCGTTTATTGATTAATTTCTCATTTGTAGCTGGAAACTTTTAAAGTAGGATTTAAAAGCGTTCTAGAATTAATAATGTCGACCTTGTAGTAATAACTGAAATAATAACTAAAATTATAATGGCCTAATCAATAAGTAGGTGTTTAAGATATTTATTATCCAATATTAAAAATTATACATTAAAAAATTACTACTGAATATCAAAATTTTAGAAGTTAGTTATTACCGAATGTTAAGATTGTTATTAATTACTGAATATTAAAAATTAAATATTAACATATTATTTAGGTTAGAAATGTAGTAATCACCAGGTAGTGCAATATTTTTGAAACTTAACTTAATTTATTTAAAATTTTAAAAATATTAAAGAATATTGGAATGTATCGTGAAGAATCATATTAGAGGTGCGCGTAAGTATACCTTTTGTGAGATTAAATTGCTTACAGTATCAGTATCGATATTTATGGATGATTTATCCGCGACTGGCGTTTGAGAGCGTTGCTTAAACATTTTCCCCATTCTATTAAGCGTAGCAGTCTTCAATTTTCTGGCATCTTGTCTGACAGTCTCAACCCTTGAGATTCTTTCAGTTAACTCCCCAGGTCCTGTTTTCTTTAGAACTTCTTTATTTTCATTTGAACCTAAAGCAAGCAAATCGTATTATCGCGGCGTTCCAGTCGCTTTTCTTTGAATTTTTCTGTCACATTGTTTAAGTTGATATTTCTTTAAACTATATTTATTTTAGTATTTCGGTTGATTTTCTTTTTAATTTTACTATCAGAGTATCTAAGTCCATTTCTTTATTTTTCGAATTGAGTGTTTATAGTACTTAAATTGATTTTCTTGTGTACTATACTCTCGTGGTGTCTATGTCGATCTCTCGAATATTTTAAATTTTATTGGTATGACTATTATCATGGTATCAAAACGTAAAGTGCATGCCTACATTGCAATATCCAAATATCTTCGTATATAGTTTCCATGTTAATTGTAGAAATTATTATATGCAAATATGCATATATGCAAAAATTTTAATACAAGATAGTATCCCCGTGTAACTTATTTTTTAATGTAACAACTTTTTTGAATCTGAAAGTAGTTTGCGTATTTAAATGTTCGTTTTATATTCAGTGGCCATGCAAACCTAAACCGGCATGCAACGCGCAGTTTATGCAGGAATTTGTGCATCAGTATCAAATAGAAAGCAAAAATCTTCTCAGTCTACGAGTGTACGAGTCCATTTTCTGGCCTAGAAATATTTTTAGATTCTTTTCGTTGAATATTTATTTATTTTAGTCAAATGCATACTGTTATCAAGCTCTTCATTTTTTCTCCATTTTTGCCGTTAATTAGACTGCAGAATTCTTGCTAGACATTTTTCAAATTACGTTTTCGATCCAGAAATAAATTTATGTCCTTTGACTTTGTATGCATGTCGTGCACGCGAAAGAGGTAATTTGCCCTTGATACAAGTTTATATAACGTTTTAATATAGTTTTGATATTCAAAGTAGGGACTATGTATATATGTTTGATCAAAAATCAATTTGACATAAGACGGTAATTTTAATTATTATTATTGTTATGATTATTATCATTATTAGTATAATTGGCATATTATCGATTGTTTGTTATACAAAGTTGCTTGAAACACGTATGTCACAAATTCTATTATGCTTCTGTTATACTTTCATTAGAAATAGTAAGTCTGTAATTTCCTAATATTTTTGCAATTCACGTATAGTTATCAATCTATGGTTATAAATTTAATTCTATTAATTTTCAAATATGCAGCTATTAAGACGAAAATTTTTTGTCTATATACGTGAGAATATGGGATAGAATGGAACAAGTCGTATAATACTACTTATGGATACTTTAAATTAATAACGCGCATAATATTCACGCGTTTAAGTTATTAAATTAATAAGTTTCAGATAGCCTAAAACTCTAGATTAAACTCTGAAACTCTAGATTAACGATAGACACCTCACGAGTCAGTCGGTGTACCCGTTGGACAAAACTAATTTAAACAATTTTCACAGACATTGACACGCATTTCATTCGCGCAGTCTTCCTTTACACCTGGATTTAGAATAGTTAACTCAAACACCCACATTTTACCTGAAGATTCCCTCCTTTCTACATTTTCACCCTCTTTTCCCATAGAGTATGAAGAAGATTGAGAGGTAGCTTCGTTCAAGTGATCGATAAACTTAATATTTTACTTCCATAATTTGATTGTTCGGAGGGATATTTTTCCTCCGCGTTTCTTCTCACGTATGGTCTCACTGAGATATTCAAATGTCGAGGTAGCAATAGGTTCATAAATATTTGACCCGAGAAAAATAGACTGCTGGACTACACTGAATATTAGACGTTGAGGATAAACTGTATTACTCTCAGGGAGTGTATTGTCCCTGAAGTAGTATTTGCATAATAATCACGAAACGTTTCTAAAAATCATACGAATATTTCGTTTGTATTGCTATTTACAGTTAATTTCGTGTATCTGAGTGAAGAGCATTTCATTGCGAGTGACGTGGATATTAGTGATTCACGAATTCGCCCATGTGGTACAGTAGTACCAGTCATGTTGAACTTTCATTTCTATCAGCATGATTAAAGGATCGCATATAGCGAATGAATAAACCCAGAGAAACAGCAGGCAGATTGGGGATATTAAATTTCTAGGATTTTCTAAAAGATAACGATTATGTGAACAGAGCATTGGGAGTTTGAAGTTTGTGAGTATCCATTTTCTAGATTGATTTTATATCATAAGTATATATAGAGAGATATAGATTGAACACAGATTTAATTAAGATTGTTATTTGATTTCTGTAATTAATAATATTTCGGATGTTTCGTATTTTTGTGAAAAATGATATGTTAGCAAATGTATTAATTTTACAAGGATAATTTGTGGGACAAAGTATCACGATAATTAAAGATATAATAATTAAAACAGGAATTTTTGTATTATAACATAAAAATTAAAACCAGTAATTGTTGAATAGAATAAAATAATTTATTCTTTCTATGAAAATTACACGTATATAGGTATATACGTATGTAATTAACATAATAAATTTTTATATTTGATATCTTATACAATCAACATCTACAATTATGAGACGAATAAAAATTTTGAATCGATAAACAGAAAAATTAATCTTTAATACCCGTTTCAAAATTTATAAATACCATTTCGTCAAATTTCCATCCATTTATGAATATATTTCCAGCATCACTGTTAATCCTTCTATTTCTAATCCATTATTATTCACATGAATCCATTATTCGAACGTCTACGTGGTAAAAATTAATCTAGCCTATCGTTCAATCAAGCCAAGCTTTACCCTATTAAAGCTTTTATTCACGAATATAAATCACCACCGTGATTCATCGTTTAACTAAAATTTCGCGTGTCTCTGTTCAAAAGTCTTGTTAACTAATGCAAAACTCCGTCCTAACTTTACTCCTTTCTTGGACGCGGATAACAAGTATGAAGTTCCGAAATTAAGTGAAGGCAACGATTCTGCGAGAAATTTATTCCACGCTTTCCCACCCAAACCTGTTTCGTGTTTTCATATTCTAAGAATTGCGGCTCGTAAGTTGGTTCGTAGTTGTGTAGGCAGGAAGAAGATCGTAGTAAAGAAGATCGATGGAGACGATGACTAGGCCTTTCAGGAAGGCATTGGTCATTTTTGATCACGAGCTAGCGAGGACGCATTCGCGAAGACATGGTCGATAAGGAAAAGAAGACGACGAAGAAAGTTTGCAGGAGAATTCCTTATGAAGGTGTTCTCCGTGTCGTTTAGAAGATTGTTCTTTGAATTGTTTTAGGAGGCTGTGTTCCGTCCCGGAGAGCGAGTTTATAACATGATTTTTATTCTAAGGCTTACACTTTTAACAAACCTAACGGTTTATTTTATATTTTATACTGCGTTCAACGTCTCCATTATAACTATTCCATACTTTTCTATAAATAAACACTCTCTTTTGACCACACACTCTGGATCCTTATTATTACAACTAGTCGCGCAATATTAATTTGGCGCGTGATAAGCGTTCTAGGACATCGAAGGGATTCGATACAATAGGACGCTACAGGCTGTATGCAAAGGAGACCCAGTTTTAGCCCCTGTTCTCGCTTCTATTCAACGGATGTAAGGTCCAGGCTCTGAATATTTTCTTTATTTAAGTACTACGATTTCATGAATGTGTCTGCAAATTTATTACCCATGAATTAGAGAATTTTTCGATGTTTCAATAGGGTATTTAGTGACGTGATAAGGATAATATAGACTTGACTGTTAAGAGAGGATTATTTCTCTTTGGGCAGTTAGTGGAATTGACAATTATTTGAGTATCACACTCGTTGTGAATTGCATTTATAAGTGTAATTTATGGTACAATTATTTAGAACAATAATTAATTGTATTCACGGAGTAAGATAGCGAGTGACAGAAGTATTCGTATTCTTTTAGTAGCTTACTTTCAGCGATTAGTATTGTTTCGTGACTCAAGTTTCAGGATTCTCATCACGATTAGGTTTGAAAGTATTCTCTATAAAAATTTATAATAGAGATATTTCTGCTATATAAATACTGTAAAGATTTGCTATAGTTTTTGCTTCCATTCAATTTTTATTTTGCAATCGAATTTATATCGATTATAAGCTTAATTAATACGACATATATTTATACTGTATGGTAAAATCTTGAAATTTTCGTCATAAAAGAACAGCAATCGGTTGAAATGAAAAATTTATATTAAGGGATTGAAATATTCCTACAAAATTAATTAATACATTTTCTAGATTGATTTTGTATCATAAGTATATATAGAGAGATATAGATTGAACACAGATTTAATTAAGATTGTTATAATTTAATTCCCGATTTTTGCTTTTTCTTTTTTCTTTTATGCGAATTGTGCGAAAGTAAAACGGTGATATGAAAGAATATAAATATGCATAAAACTTATGAAAAATCCGTGCAAATCCGAGTAAAATGTTTTAAAAGCATGCATGTAGATACGAATAAAGCGTATCATCGAAAATAAAAAAATAAATAAATCACGAATAAAACGAATTTAGAGAAACGGTATAAATGTGAATAAATTATGTTTAAAGGAATCGTATAAGTACGAATAAAGCGTATTAAAAAAATTAGGATTTTTGAAGAATTACGCAACCGCGAATCGTGTTTGAAAATACCACGTAGAAAGAGACCCGACAGATTTATCTTTTCCAAAAGCTGATCGTGATGCCCGTGCAATAAACTACCGCGCTTAGAGCAGAACAGATGTGCAAGCTTCTTCCTTGCAAATTAATTTACTTACTTGGTGTAGCTCGCAACGTAATCGACTGTGAATCCCTAGTTACTTTCTGTTGCACACCAGCCCGATTCTTTGAACTGCGAGACTCATCGATACAAGTTGCTCCTGCAGCAGCCTGTCAAAAAATTCGTATAGTTCCATATTAAATTTATTTCTCAATTGCTCAACCATAAGGTCTATAAATCGATTTCGTGTACTTTTATTCGG